AAAGGCTGGGCTTTTTTGCAGTTCTCTGGCACTGTGAGACGGGCCTGTCTTTGGCTTGAAGCTTCCATAGTCTTACGGCTTTACTTCCTTTTATGTCTCTTTTCACACCAACCTTTCTGAGCCAGTTCAGGGTTTCTGGATATGCTGCTCTCTCACACCTTTGGGCTTTTGAACCTGCTGCTCCATCTGCTTGAGATACTTTCTTCATTGTATGAAAGCAGATTAGTACGCATTTTTGAACTCCTGTAAACGTTACTTCCTCATTTCTGGGCTCCCAGATCTGGGTCAGGTATTCCCCTGTATGCTCCAATTGCATTCTATATCTAAACTTTTATAACATTAACTGTTTTGTAAATTGCCTCTCAATCTCCAGCTTTTTCTGATTTTTTGCTTTTCTTACATTCTAATTTTTACTCCACTTATTTGAAAGTTATATATTCCAAAGTTAACTATGTTAGTGGTTTGTCTAGCCATGTTACCATGTGTACCTAATGAACTCTGGAGTTAGGATCTTTGTTTTCCTCCTCCAAAACCCAGGATTTTAGAACACATTATCTCAAATTACCTGGTCCCCTACTTTATATCTTATCATTGTCCAGTGTCTTTTTTTTTTCAGTTTTTTTTCTCCTAATAATTGTGGCATAATGTAATACTTTAAAGATTATGTTTGTTTAGCTTTACCCATGTATTGACCAATTTCTTCCTTATTCTGGGAATTTGGACACTGCCTAGATCTAAGGTTTGGCATTTTTCAACAAGTATAGAATAACATCTCTTCAAATATTGACTCCTTCTCATTCACTGTATTATCTCCCTGAAACTCCAATTATGTGCATTTTAGATGTTCTCTTTGTATATGTCATGTATCTTAACTCTGATCTGCAGTATTTCTTTGTCATTTTATATTACATTCTAGATTTTTTGGATCTTTCAATTCACTAATTACCTCTTCAGTTGGCTTAGTCTACTTGAGTTTTAAATTTAAGTAATTATGTTTTCATTTGTAATTCTACATAGTTCTTATTATTAAAATCTTACTACCTGCTAATATTTTTTGAAATACTAAATTTTTTTACATCAGTTATGGGTTTACAATAAAATTGAGGGGAAAGTACAGAGATTTCCCATATACCCCTGCCCCATACATGCATAACCTCCCTTATTATCAGCATCCCCCACTAGCATAGTACATTGTTACAATTAATGAATCTACATCATAATCACCCAAAATCCCTGGTGTACATTAGGATTCAGTCTTGGTATCATACATTCTGTGGATTTGGACAAATTTATAATGATGTATATCCATCATTATAATATCATACACAGTATTTTCATGGCCCTAAAAACCTCTGAGCTCTGCCTGTTCCTTCCTTCTCCCAACCAACCCCTGTTCTTTTTATTTTCTCTATAGTTTTCCCTTTTCCACAGTGACATATAGTTCAAATTACATGGTATGTTGCCTTTTCAGCTTGGCTTCTTTTGGCAATCATGAATAAAGCTTCTGTAAACTTCTACGTGGAGGCTTTTGTGTGGACATGAGTTTTTAAATCCTTTGGATAAATACTAAGGAGTGTGATTTCTGGATCATATGGTAAGAGTATGTTTGGTTTGGTTAGAAACTGCCAAACTGCCTTTTTAAGGTGTCTGGTACTTTTTTCATTCCCACCAGCAATGAATGAGTGTTCCTGTTGTTCCACATCCTTGTCAGCGTTTGGTATTGTCAATGTTCTTTTGGCCTTTCTAATATATGTGTAGTGATATCTCTGTTTTAATTTGTGTTTCACATATGGAACATCTTTTCATATACTTATTTTCTATCTGTATATCTTCTTTGGTCTTGATCTTATTTTGAAGATTTAAAAAATTTTTTTAATAATTATATTTTGGGTGTATTAATCCAGTCTGTGAAGTCTTTGAGGTTCTATTTCTTGTGTTTCACTCAAGGTACCTTATTATCTTGTGTGAATTGTGAATTTTGTCTGTTAGTGTCTCATTTCATTTGGAACCTAATCTGTAGAAATTCTTTGAGTTGAAATATAGTTCATCTTAAGAGAATTTGCTTTTACTTTTGCATTTGCCTGTTATCTGGTGACACTATCTACCTGGAGCAAGCCTTTCCAAATTGGGTATTATACCAGATTTGAAACTCAAACTCCCAAACACCATATTGTGATTGAAAAATCTTAGAGGAATTTTTTTTTTGCCTCTCTACCCATTGCTAAGGCAAAGGCCAAGGTTGGTAAATTGGTAAGTTTCCTTGTCCTTGTCTGCATGAGCATTATGAGGGCTTTTTTTCTTTTTTAATTTTTAGTTTGAAATACAGATCGACAGAAATTGCAAATATGTATAAATATGTGAATGGAAGTCCTGTGAGCCTTTTCCAGTTTCCCTCAGTATAACTTTTTTTTTCAGCTTATTGAGGTATAATTGACAATTTTTTAAGATATTTGAAGTGTGTGATGTGATGTTTTGATATACATATACATCATGAAAGGATTCACCCCATGGAGTTGAATTAACATACCCATCTCCATCACCTCACATATTTCTTTTTTTTTTTTTTGGTAAGAACATTTAAATTCTACTCTCTTATAAAATGTTAATTATATAATACAGTGTTATTGGCTATAATTGCCATGTTATACATTAGATCCTCAGACCATATCCACAGTCTGACCGTGGGTGTGTGCTCTTACCAGCCTTTCATCATTTCCCCCACTCCTCAGTCCCTGGCAATCACTTCTCTATTCTCTGAGTTTTTGAGTTTGACTTTTTTTTAAGATTCTCAAAGTATTTTAATTCACCTTAAAACATATGTTTAGGGAATTTATTTAAAATGTAAAAGGACTGGTCAGTTTAAAATAAGTAAATGTAACTTTTATATGGGGAATCATAATCTAAGGAAATAGGCTAGGTCACCAGTTGTCCAGATTATTTGCTGTATGTCAGAATTTTATATGGATATGAATCAGAAGTTTACTGTTTAAGGACTGTGTGTTCTTACTGCTGTGGACAGATAGGTTCTTCAGGTGATATTTGTAAAGATTTGTATTAGTTCAGATCATTGAACTGAAACAGCATTTATTGATTTCTTGATAGGAGAGCTGATTCCTGACTTCACGAAATAATATGGTATACTGGAAAAGACTGATAAGCATGGTGATGTTTATCATACTTACAAGTATTGAGAGACCCTATGAGCCCAGCTTTAGGGGAGAAGGAGTTTGCAGAAAGGGTGGTCAGGAAAGTCCTCACAGAAAGTGAAGTCTAAGCTGGGTCTTTAGGAATCAGCAGAATTATACCAATATTCAAATGAGAGCATTCTACTACCAAAACAGGGACACTCAAAATGTTACTCCTGCCCATCTGCATGTCCTTCCTTCTCCCTTTTCTTTACCTTCATTAGACCAACTTAAAGGAGTTCATGGCCCACTTTATATTGGCCCTATTTCTATTGCAGATACAGAGTTCAAGTAAAACTTTAGGCCATTTTCTTTGTGTGCCCATTCCTAGATGGTAATTTTTCTAAGTTAGGAAAGAAAATCAGGTTTAGCTCTTTCCTTAGGAATAATGAGAACCCATCATCTCTGTTTCTCAGCTCCTACTATGGCTTATCCATGAATGCCTCTTTTGCTGTTTCCTTCTTGTAACTTTCTCTGATCTCTCTGATGTCCCTCTGATTGAGCTGCCTGCTCTTTCAATTCCAATCCTCTCCATGCTCCTCTCTCCATTGGAATTCATTACCTCAGCCCTCACCTTGCCTGGCCCAATGCATGTGATCTCCATTCCTGAGCAGCTGGCCCAGACACTGCCATCTCCAGTCATCCACCCTCCATCGGGGTCTGAATAGCCTCTGAGCATGGTCTCACCCACACTCCTTAAAAGCAAGGTATAGTCTTAATAAGATTCTTACCATCTTTTTGTAATTTTCACACTAGGACCCAAAGCTTCACCTCTACTCCAGTTAGTTTCATTAGTATTCAGTTGATACAATGAATTTACTTGTATTTCTTCTAATATCTGAAATTGAAGGTTTTTTTTCAACATTTGTAGTAAAACTATTTTTGTCCTCTATGTTATTTTAATTTTTTGTGATGATTGAAGCTTTCATATGGGCTGAATATTTTTTCCTTTTGATACCTTACTTTAAAATATTTGTGAACCACAAAAATGAAGAAGGCCCACACTCACACAAACAGTTTTATCTGGCTCCAAAACCCTGAACCCCATTCTTTCCATCCTACCATATTGCCTTGCTATTTTCTAAAACCTCCATAAAAAGTTTAACCATTTACTTCCTCTAACGTAGCTTTAAACTGCTCATAATTTTATTTAGCTGCTTATGGTGGGTTCGGTTAGATCAAAGTTCCATGTCTTACGGGCCAGTAATCCTGAGTTTCTCCATCAGTAAACAATATAGTCTTCTCAACAATTTTGTCTATATGACAATCGGATTGTATAAAGAATCAAAGGCAAGGGTAAGGGAGTGAAATAGATCAAAAGACTCTCACATTTCCTAATAACATCAAAGGGCTGAGGAAGTTAAGTGGTTAGCCTTGTAAAGAGTAGGCTTAGAGTCAGAAACCTGGTGGAAGACGCAGCCTTGTCATGTATTACCTAGGTATCTTAAGTCTTTCAACCTCGCTGTAATATTTTTTCTTTAGTAAAAATGGAGATAATAAAACCATACCACATCGCAAGGATCGAAATCATGTAAAAATTTTTTAGAAAAAAAATTTAGAAAAACTTAGAAAACCAGAGTAATGCTGGGAATAACATTAGAAATTATTATAGGGAATACTACTGTAAGTGATAAATTTTGGATACATTTTCAATTTGTAATATGTGATAACTTTCTAAAATACCTGCCTCATAGATAAGATTAACCAGTGTGTGTATTTCCCAAATTCAAAGAAAAAATGATAATGATACTATGTTAGTGTGCAAAATAAACAGAATATTAATTTTATCTATTTACTTTTTCACTGCCTTTATAGGAAAGCACTGAATTTAGGAATTCTTCGAGACCCGGGATCAGAAATTGAAGATAGACAATATCAGATAGACCTGCAATCCATCAATATTGGTACTGCACAGTGGGATCAACTAAAACCAGAGAAGGAAGGTGGCACAGGAGGGGTGCTAAAAGAGAGTGAAAGAAATTCTCAAAATCCAGCCCTTGAGTGGAATATGGCCAGCAGGTAGGAAATGACTGAGAAAAGAATATTTCATTGCCAGAACAGCTGATGATATAATCTTTACCATGTCCAACCTATGTGTTTTGGTACTGCTTCTGCATTTCATGACAAACATAACATGTATTTTATAATCACAGCTGATGACCTGCTAGTCCTACCACTGTTATGCTGTAATTAATACAAATTTAAGATTATGTGAGCATTTTTTTTTTTAACTTGCTATTCAAGGAAGGTTCCACTTCAGGCTTATTATACATTCACATTTTTTTTTGAAATCCATTGTATTCAAAGTCATTTTTTATTTTTTAAAGTTTCTTCTTTCTGCTTATTATAATAGAAGAGTCTCTTGGGTTTTTTTTTTAAGTCCACTTTAACTAAAAGCAGCTGTATTCACAGAGAACATTTTTAAAGGAATTAATCCTAAATGTGAGCTATAAGATTTGTAGAGAACCACTGCCATCTTACCCAGGCTCTTCTTGATTTCGTATCAGAGAGTTAGAATTGTTTGCTAGAACAAAGGTATAAACATTAAGGATATTTTTATATTGTAAAACTGGAGGTCTTTATGATTTTAAGAAAGTGTTCATTATTTTTCATCCTCTTTTTTTTTTTAATAAAATTCAATAACATCTGTTGCTTACAACACATCATGGTGGTTTGTTGACTGGATTTCTTAAAACATTGTTTATAGAGTTTGTTGTATGCCTTCCTGCAAAGCTGATTACTTTGGGGTTCTGCCCCTTTACCACCAAAACTATGTTTGTCTATGTCTTGCCATTAATAATAATGACAACACTAATAATGGATTATGTAATACTTATCACTTTACCTGACTTTAGTTTTCACAGTAATGCTGGGTTTTCTTAATTACACATAAAGAAACTGAGGCCTAGACAAGATAAATAATTTCCCTAAAATCAAATACCAAGTGATATGCTCAGTCTATACTCTTTATAAAGTTCTTTTGTCAGGTTCTAACATTTTTTTCTACCATCATTGTGTGCTATTCATAATGAGCTGTTTTCAGCTTCCGAAAAATATGATTCAGCACTGGTTACTAGTCCTTCTTATGTGATCTCCTCTTTACCTGGAGCTCTTAAGCCACCCTTTTCATTTGCCTCATTCCTATCATTCGTCAAGTTTCAGAGCAGGTATCATGTTTTCCAGAAAGTCTCCCAAGTTCTCACGAAAGCAGGTTAAGTTCTCCTTTTGTGTGTTCTTATCAAATCACTTAGCATATTTAATTCTAGTTATCTATATACTTTGGGTCCTGAGGACAGAGATCATCACCATCCTGCCCATTGATGTATCCCCAGCACAAAGCAATTTCGTGATATAAAATGTACAGCACTTCACTGACAGGTGATTGAATGGCCTCTCAGTAGGGGTGTAAATTTGGGTGAAGAATATCCCACAGCTGGCCAAGGTATGTTTCAGGAGAGGGATGCAAGTATTGAGCCATTCACAGGTGACACTCCTGGCGGCTGGGAGAATGAGTGTTTTGATCTTGAAGGGAAGATCTGGGTACACACACAACACATCCGCAATACCAGTTGTGATTCCTAAACATCACATAGTATCAGGCAGGATCATATCCCCTCATTCTTCCACTTCACTCAGTTTTCAGATTTAGGAGGTACCAGCTTACAGAATTACAGGTCATCATTTCTTAAAAACCACAAATTCTACCAACAAAGACGAGAAGCCTTATTTTCCTAGGAAACTTTATGACCACCTAGCCTTAAATCAGCTATATCTCTGCTGTTTATCTTTTTATTCATTTAATAAATAGTTTCTGTATTTTAATAATTGATTGAGTTGAAACTCATATAAAATTAACCATTTAAAGTGAACAGTTAAGTGGCAATTTGTACATTCATAATATTGTATAGCCACCACCTCTTACCTAGTTCTGCAACATTTTCTTTACCCCAAAGTAAAAATCCTTAACCATTAAGCAGTTTCTTCTGCATCCTTCTCCCTCCTCGTAGCCCTTGGCAACTGCCAGTATGCTTTCTATATTTATGGATTTTTCTGTTCTAGATATTTCATGTAAGTGAATATGCATCTGGCTCATTTACTTAACATAATGTTTTGAAAGTTTATCCATATGGTAACATTCATTCATTATGGTACTTCATTCTTTTTCACTGCTGGATAATATTCCACTATATAAAGAACCATAGTTTTCTTTATCCATTCATCTTTGGTGGACATTTGGGCTCTTTCCACTTTTCGCTATTGTGAATTGGACATTTGTGTACAGTTCCTGCTTGAGTACCTATTTTCAGGTATTTTGGATATACACCTAAGAGAATTACAAGGTCTCATGGTAATTCCATATTTAACTTTTTGAGGAGCTGCCACACTATTTTCCACAGTGGCTGAACCATTTTCCATTCCCATTAGGCTTCCAATTTTGCCACACTCTGACCAACACTCATTTTCCTTTTTTTTTTTTTT